AAGGAAGGAAGGAAGGAAGGAAGGAAGGAAGGAAGGAAGGAAAGAAGGAAGGAAGGAAGAAAGTCCACGTCTATACGTCAGCTGGGGCATCAGTCTGGAAAGCCCTTTTGTAAACAAGTGGGTAGGAGTGGAGAGCTGGGAAGGGGGTATGCACTCCTGGCGTGAGATGGGGCCTAACTAAAATAATTTTGGGAAGTAGCCATCTGGAAATTAATCCAAAATTCCAACAGGCGAAACAGGAGTGTGAGAGTCTCTTGTTAGCCGGTCTGCAGCCATTATAATAGACTAATAATTCCTTCTCTTTCTCTCAGTCTCCGGACACTGTGAATTAATTTAGAACATCTCAGAATTTCTTTCTTAGCGGCTCCCATGAGTAAGATTTGCAATCAAAGTGTTCGAATCCTCACAGTCATTTGGAGTGTCAGAAAGCTATCACTGCCTTTCAAAGACTTGATTATATTTCCCGAAGAAAATGAATAGTGAGCAAGAGAAAGAGGGGGGTGTCTGGGTTCCCCGCCTCGCACCCACTTCCTCCCCCATCTGACCCAGCCCCTCCCTGCGGCGGACCGGGGTCTTCGCCTTAGGGGTAGTGTAGCTCCCTTTTGAGAAGCTGATGGGAACAGGGACGTGCACATGTACATCGAAGCTGATGGGAACAGGGACGTGCACATGTACATCGAAGCTGATGGGAACAGGGACGTGCACATGTACATCCAGTCACAAATAGGCTCACAGGCCTGGCATGTAGGAGGTGCTCAATAAAAACTGTCTGACGAGTGGTTAGATTTCCACAGGGCTCCCTCACTCCCTCCGGGTTAAGAACTGGTGTTAACCCTTTGCACGCTGAGTGCAGGAACCTCTCTTCTATTGTAAACAGGTGCTCCTTTGAGTAGATAGAGGACTCCTTCTTCTCTGCAAACCTCTGCCTGTTTCCAGCCACTTCCAGACACTTCTTCCAGCCACTTCTTCCAGCCACTTCCAGCCTCTGGCTTGTAGAGTCACCACCCCCCTAGGGCTCCCTGCAGTTCAGCCCCGCCCTCCCCGGAGGCTGGCCTTCCCCACTCCTGCTCTGCCATTGATGATGCGGAGTTGCCCCAGCATTTAGCGGGGACTGGGCTTGAAACTTGATGGAAACATGCGACCCACAACAAATATTTTTGCGGCCCAGCCACTGTAACGGTATGTAAGAAACGTTTTAATAAAAGCTCTGTAACTTAATTTTTACAATATCCAATCACACACAATTATGAATAACAAACTACAACGTTCGCTAATGACTGATGACTATAATCGCGCTGCATTCGTTTCCCTTTCACACCTTACGCGCAGGCGTGCCATGTCTCTCCACTAATACCAGCAGTCGACGGCCATGTCATTAGTCTTGTGCTAACTTGTTTGGTGTGAGCAACAGGAAATATTTCGCTTTTGGAGAACAAAAAAAATGGGTTTATTTGTGTCACGCTTATTCATTTGTGCAGTTATTCAGTGTCTGGTAAGTTAATGTTCAAGAAAAAAAGATTAATTTTTGTTAAAATGTTATATTATTTTAATGTCATTTATTTCAGCCTTTTGTATTCAGCATGTCTCTCAAAATAAACCTACATTTCTAAGAAAATTAAAGCTCTTATTTTTTGTGGGTTTTTTTTTTTTTTTTTTTGCAGCCCACATAAACTTAAACCTTGTTTATTTGGCCCGTATTAGCATATATATATATATAATTTATTGATTTCAGAAAGGAAGGGAGAGGGAGAGATAGAACCATCAATGATGAACCATTGATCGGTTGCCTCCTGCACGCCCCCTACTGGGGATCAAGCCTGCAACTTGGGCATGTGCCCTTACCCGGGATCCAACTTGGGACCCTTCAGTTGGCAGGCTGACGCTCTATCCACTGAGCCAAACCGGCTAGGGCCCGTGTTAGCCTTTGAGTATGACATGCATGCACTAAGGTAAGCTCAAAGGTTATATCCCCGCAGGAGCTTCCCAGACCCAGGCCTGAGACTGAGGAAATGCCTTGAGATTGCAGCTTCTAGGGTTTGCTCACTTCCTCAAGGCGGGCGAGTCTGTCAGGTATTCCATGAAGCCCCGAGGGAGAGCTCACCAGGCCGCTTACAGCCCCAAACACACCACCCTGAAACTCCAGTGTAATTACCTCAAATGGTTACCACATCAGATCCAGCATCCAGGCTCATGGGACAACTTCGGCCCCAGCCCCCAGCTCCATCCTGCCACCGTGGATACATAATTAGACACCAGACGCACCCAGGGTGATGAGGCAGCAGTCTGTGCCCCTCCTTGTTCAGTTATCTCTGGGGTCTAGGAGGAACAAAGCTCAGCAGACCCGGCCGGGGACTGCCACACCCTCAGCAGACGGGTGTCATGCCAGGCAAATGGCCAGAGGTGGCCGACCAGCTGGGCGGTGTCCCCATTGTGGTGTCCCCTCCCCGACCTGCCTCCCCACACAATAGGAAGAGTCATCTCTCCCACATTCCTGCTTTCTCATGGGAATCAGAAACGTCCTTCCCCACCTGAAACCCCTAGAGTTTGGGGCGGTTCCTCTGGTGGCAGCACTACGTAAGCCGCGAAGAAGGCATGTCTCTCCATGGGACTCAGAAACCCACTTTCTCCTCTTGTTGCCCCAGCACCCCTTCATCAGGGTGGAGGCAAGAATGGAAATGGCAAAACCCCAATATACCTTCAGGTCCAAAGGGTGGGAGTTGGGGGACTCTGCCTTCAGAAGTTTCCCTCTCGTACCTGTGTCAGAGGAATGAATCATGAGGTTCATTGTGCTGTCGCTAGCTTTTATCCTCACACAACATTTAAAGTGAGATTGGCCAACCAGGAAGCCATCCTGTGATTCACCCAGCCTGTGGATGCTGCCGGAATGTGTGGCTATGGCCTGGGGTGGCAGCTTTCTCTCATAAAATGTGCTTTGTATTCTAAGTAGGCTTGCTGCGGTTTGAAGCAGAGAAACAATGAGTCATTTGTGTCGGAGGCTATTGGTTCTAGGATTTCAGAGTGACCCGGGGTGAAACAAGGACCAGGTGTACCTTAAAGGCAAGACACCCTGAAAATTGGTGCCTGCCCGTCTCTGCTGATCTGTCTTTGCCTTTTAAAGGCAAACTCTGCGATCATAGCACAGCACAGAGTTGGGCTTATTATTTTCCCAGAATAAAATCTCTGGTGCTTTCTAAGTACATACCGATTGGCTTTCTGAAATCATTTTTAAAGTTAGGGGGATTACATTCATAGCTGCCTCCTATAAAGGCCGGCAGAGACTTTTAACTGCTTGTTGTCTAGGTGAGACCATCTAGCAGGCCTGGGATCAGAGCCGAGCTCCAGCACTTAACTAACTTTGTTTATTTTGAGAAATAACTTCTCACTTTGTTTATTTTGAGAAATAATTTCATTTGAAAGCACCAATGTCTTCTTCCGTAAAATGAGGAGAATATTATAACAATGAAACCTACCTCAAACAGCAGAGTGTCCATGAGGCGGCATCAGAAAAGGTTCCCAGCACCTGCGAATGTTCAGTAACTGTTATTCCTGGCAATGGAGGTGTGTTGGTGTTCCTCGTAAGACCTCTGCTTGCTTTATCAGGCAAGTTTCATGCTGACCAAGGTCGTGAAAGTCTGCTGTGCTTTAAGTAGGTCCTGAGCTTTGAACCAGTCTGAGCCCTCTGTGAGGTGTTGATTCCAGCTTCTGGCCTCAAGGGGTTCCTTGGGGCCAAATGGTCTTTGTCAAGCAGTTTGTACCAAAGGGAATGCATTCAGAGTTTTGTTGGATTAACTGGGGCTTCCGTTACATAAGGGCTTGTTTTCAGGAGTTTTCTTTTTTCAACAAGGAAAAAGAGCACCATCGCTTCCAAGTCATCTGCGGTCTTCCTTACAGCTCGTCATACACACCTGGCACCTCTTTTCAGCCCGGAGTGAAAACACGCATGCTCACCCGCCAACGTCAGGCACAGAGCTGCAGCCCGCGTCCCAAGAGCATCTGCTGACAACTTCCTGTCGCTTTAGAAGTATTTCCTGAAAGAACAGCAGAAACTGTTTTTGAATTGACATGTGGCTTTTAGCTGCTCCTGAGTTAAGTGAAAGTGCCATTGTTACCAACATGAACCTAAAAAGAAAAAAAAGGAAAAGTATTACTTTTTCTTTTCTTTTCCTTTGCTGATCAACATGAACAATTATTTCTTGGTAAAGATGATTTCAGGCAAAGACAGGACTTAGGAGTTATTGCTTATTTTATTTCAATAACATGTTGCTTATTTCAACCAAAAAAAAAAATAACTTTGTAATGTTGTTTGAGCAACGTTTTGCTTATTTCTTCACAAAGAAATTGTGACAAACAGTAGAGAGTTAAAGCATTTTTATGAAATATGTAAAGATACCCACATCTGGGGTTGCACATAACAAAGAAATATCTTAAATACTTTTCAGAATATTCTAAGAGCCAAGACACAAGGGCATGCTTTAGGAGAACATAGGAATGTAATGGGGGAGGGGAGGCATATTGGGACTACCCATTTCCTTAAAAATCACCAAGGAAAACAAAGCAGCATTCAACTTCACATACTGGCCTTGCACAGTTTATATATAATAGCATGACTTAACTCCAAAAAGCAAAGATGGGTTTCTCACTTTGTTTATTTTGAGAAATAACTTCATTGACACTCACGGAGTCTACTCTTGTCTGATAGGCTTCCGCGGAAGGAGTCTCTGCTACTCAGGAGAGGACCCATTTGACACTTCTTTTCAGGTGGCCTTGAGGTCAGTTTTGAGGGACAACTTGGAGAGCTTAATTGTCTGCTCCTAAGTCAGTGGTCGGCAAACTCATTAGTCAACAGAGCGGCAAACTGTGGCTCGCGAGCCGCAGTTTGCCCACCACTGCCCTAAGTCAACCCAGCCTTAAGTTTCACGTGTGTGTGTGTGTGTGTGTGTGTGTGTGTGTATAATTTGCATAACAATTTCACCCAAATACTCTCTTTCCCATCTTGCAAGATGGCGGGTGAAAAGAAAACCGAGAAGCCGGATACTAAAGAGAAGAAGCCTGATCCTAAGGAGAAGCCAGACACTAAGGAGAAGAAACCTGAAGCCAAGAAGAAGGCTGATGCCGGCGGCAAGGTTAAGGTGCCTAAAAAGGGGAAGCCCCACTGCAGCCGAAACCCCGTCCTTGTCAGAGGAATCGGCAGATATTCCCGGTCGGTTATGTATTCTCGAAAGGCCATGTACAAGGGGAAGTATTCTGCCCCTAAATCCAGGATTGAAAAAGAAAAAGGAGAAAGTCCTTGCTACTGTCACAAAACCAGTTGGTGGTGACAAGAATGGTGGTACCCAAGTGGTTAAACTCCGCAAAATGCCTAGATATTATCCTACTGAAGATGGGCCTCGAAAGCTGCTGAGCCATGGCAAGAAGCCCTTCAGCCAGCGAGTAAGGAGATTGCGGGCCAGCATCCCTCCTGGGACTGTTCTGATTATCCTCACTGGGCGCCACAGAGGCAAAAGGGTGGTTTTCCTGAAGCAGCTGAGCAGTGGCTTGCTATTTGTGACTGGACCTCTGGCCCTCAATCCAGTTCCTCTTCGTAGAACACACCAGGAATTTGTCATCGCCACCTCCACCAAAGTTGATATCAGTGGCATAAAAATCCCCAAACATCTCACTGATGCTTACTTCAAGAAGAAGAAGCTGCGCAAGCCCAAACACCAGGAGGGTGAGATCTTCGACACAGAGAAGGAGAAATATGAGATTACAGAACAGCGCAAGGTTGACCAGAAAGCTGTGGACTCTCAAATTCTGCCAAAAATCAAAGCTGTCCCTCAGCTCCAGGGCTTCCTCCGCTCTATGTTCCCTCTCACCAATGGGCTTTATCCTCACAAACTGGTGTTCTGAATTTCTTATAAGAACCCGATTAAATAACTGATATGTTAAAAAAAACAAAAACAAAAAACAATTTCACCCAAATGGGTTTCAATTCCACCACCATTTTTTAAGACTATGTAATAACATGTTATCATTTTTGCCCATTAGATTTTATGTTTTTATTGATTCCTAATCTATGAGTTATCAATATTTTTGACATTGTCTCTTATTTTTGCCTTTTAGGGCTTTTTTTATATGCTGTAAATTTTATTAATCTTTTGTTTTAAGGTCTGTGGGTTTTGAGGCTTAGTTAGAGAGGTTATCCACTCCAAAGTTATAAGGTAATTCACTGATGTATTCTTCTCATTCTTTTGTGGGTTTGATTTTTTTTTTCTTTTTGGTTTAAATTTTAGACCCATTTGGAATTTATCTTAATAAAGATGATGTAAAATATAGATCCAACTTTATTTTTTTATAGACAGGTACTAGTTGTTGCAACATCATTTATTAAAAAGACCAACTTTTCCTGCTGATTTGAAATGCCACTTCTTATGTATGCTAAATTCCTATGTGCATTTGGGTCCATTTCTGGTTTTTCTCTTCCATTGGTCTGTTTTGCTGCCAGTACTACATTGCTTTAATTATTGAGACTTTATATATAATACGTTTTATGTTCCAGCAAATCTTGGTGTGCAATAAATCACCCAAAGCTTAGTAATTTAAAACAACAATTGTTTTATTATCTCTCACAGTCTCCATAAGTCAGGAATTCAGGAAACTCTTGGTGGGGAGATTTTCTTTCTCCTCACGTAGCTTCAGTATTTCTCAGTGTGGTCTCCCTGTAGGAGTTAGTCCGGGCTTCCTCTCAGCGCGGTGGCTTCAGTGAAGTCGGACAGCATACATGGCAGCTCAGAGTTACAGTGCAAGTGCTTCCAAGAACAAACTAGAAGCCGCCTCACCTTTCTGACCCACGCAGCATCACAACCTCTATATTCATTTGATGATGAGACAGTACCATCCAAATCCTCTCAGTGGGACAAATGTCAAGGTCACATTGTAAGAAAAACATGTGGCACAGGACACACTGTTGTGGCCAATTTGGAAAAATACAACCTGCCATATTTCACTTTCTGATAGGGCTTCATTAATCTATTTCAGAGTTTTCCAGGCTATTCTGACCAGAAGAAACTCTTCTCTTTCAAGTAGTCTTTTTATAAATCTGATCCTTGAGGTGAATTCACTGGTAATCATGTGTTAACCTTTTTTTTCATTTACTTTTGGCATTTAAAAAATAACCTTTTTTATTTTCAAAAACTACATTCAGGTCTAATTATGAATAAGTTGTCATCAGATGTGATTCATTTCTGAAAATATGTTTTTAAAACAAACAAACAATAGGGTTGGATGTTGTGTTTGGTGGGGAGAGGATGGCTCTGAGATAAAAAACAAAAAACAAACAAAAAAAAAAACACACAAAAACAAAACCAAACACTGCCTCTGCCTGAGATGCTTTGCTCAGTGGATAGAGCATTGGCCTGTGGGATGAAGGGTCTAGGGTTTGATTTTGATCTCCTTCCTCGGTTGCAGACTTGGTAGGGACACATGTGGGAGGCAAGAGACACGTGTGGGAGGCAACCAATCAATATCAATGTTTCTCTCTTTGTGTCTTTCCCCCTCCTTTCCACTCTTCCTAAAAATAAATAGAAAAAAATATATTTGAGGTGGGGGAGGGTGGTGGTGATGGTAATGGTGAGGATTAACAACTACAACAAAAACTGCCTCTGACCATGTGGTAATGAATTAGAATTGGAGACAATTTTATGCATTCATGTTAAGCTTAATATAAATTGTTAAATAAAAAATATTTACAGATATGTGTATGTTCATGCATTGGTGTAAACATATATATTTCCTTGCTCCGTCAGCTAAGAGGGCCTAGAAGCAATGCCACTCCAGCGTCAATGAGCAGAAACCTGGCACCCTGCTTTTGGTTTCTAATGTCATTTTCAGAAGAAACCAGAGCTTCTTACAGAGATGGCTGATTCTAGGGTTGAACAGAAAGGATACAAGATGAGCTTGGAGTATCTTGTTAGTGCCAGGAAGTAAGGAAGTGCTAAAGAACAAACAGACAAACAAACAACAAACCAACATCGGTGGGATATGTCCAATTTGTTGGCAGATAGCTGTTCATAACATTTTCTTATAATCCCTTGTGTATCTGTGGAATCACTTTTCATTCTCCTTTTTCATTTCTGATTTTATTTATTTGGGTCATCTTTCTTTTTTTCTTGATGAATGTGATGAAAAGTTTGTCAATCTTGTTGATCTTTTCAAAGAACCAGCTCTTGGTTTTATTGGTCTTTTGTATTGTGGGGGTTTTTCAGACTCTATTTCATTTATTTCTTCTCTGATCTTTTATCATTTCCTTTCTCCTACTCATCTGGGGCTTTGTTTGTTGTTCCTTTTCTAGTTCCTTTAAGTGTAAAGTTAGATTGTTTATTTGAGATTTTTCTTGTTTTTTGAGGTAGGCCAGTAATGTTATAAATTTCCCTCAGAGGAGTGCTTTCACTGTATCCCATAAATTTTGGGATGGTTGTGTTCTCATTTTCATTTGTTTCAAGGTAGCTTTTGATTTTTTCCTTGATCTCATTGTTAACCTATTCATTGTTTAGTAACATATCATTTAGCTTCCATGTCTTTATGTTTTTTTTCAGGTTTTTTTTTCTTCTTGTCATTGATTTTATTTTATTTTTTAATATATATTTTATTGTTTTTTTTACAAAGAGGAAGAGAGAAGGATAGAGAGTTAGAAACATCAATGAGAGAGAATCATCAATCAGTTGCCTCTTGCACAACCCCTACTGGGGATGTGCCAGCAACCAAGGTTCATGCCCTTGACCAGAATCGGACCCGGGACCTTTCAGTCCGCAGGCTGATGCTCTATCCACTGAGTCAATCCGGTTTCGGTTCTTGTCATTGATTTTAGTTTCATACCATATGGTCAGAGAAGATGCTTGATATAATTTCAATCTTCTTAAATTTATTGAGACTTGTTTTGTGTCCTAACATGTGACCTATCCTATAAAATTTTCCATGTGCACTAGAAGAATATATTCTGATGCTTTGGGGTGAAATGCTCTGAAGATATCAATTAAGTCCATCTGATCTATGTCATTTGAGGCTGCTGTTTCCTTGTTGATTTTCTGTCTAGAAGATCTAGCCATGGATGCCAATGGGGTGTTAAAATCCCCTATTATGATGCTATTACTGTTGCTTTCTCCCTGTATGTCCATCAAGATTTGCTTATATATTTAGGTGCTCCTTTGTTGAGTGTGTTACGCTTTAAGTAATCCCATTGCAATGGTGGATGTATACACAACCCACCTTGTTGTATTGGGATGAAGCTCTAATCAACTGAGCTACCCAGCCAGGGCTGAATGAAGTATCTGTCATTTTCAAGAAGAGATGTTGCCCAAGTGTTCTCTTTACTTTTATAAAATAACATCAGCCCCAGCCGGTTTGGCTCAGTGGATAGAGCGTTGGCCTGCAGACTGAAGGGTACCGAGTTCAATTCCAGCCAAGAGCATGTACCTTGGGGGGGAGGGGTGCAGGAGGCAGCTAATTGATGTTTCTCTCTCATTGATGTTTCTAACTCTCTATTCCTCTCCTTTTCTCTCTGTAAAAATCAATAAAATATATTTAAAAATAAGTAAAATAAAATAATATCAGGCCCATCAGAACCAAGGAGAAAGTTCCACAAAAGTGTACTCTACCTACAACCCTGCCAGAAACTGCCCCAGCATTTTCCTGCTCCTTTCTCATGCCAAATTCAAATATCTTGGCACCAAGACGAGCTAAAGTGTAAGGCATCAACCACACCTTCCGACCCTTATTCCCCACAGACCCAGGAATGGGGTGTCTGTAGGCCTATAGAATAGAGGTCTTCTCTGATCCTTTTTCATGCTCTACCAGGAGTAAAAGATTCCCTTGGGTCTTTTTTTTAAAAATATATATATTTTTATTGACTTTGTACAGAGAGGAAGGGAGAGAGATAGAGAGTTATAAACATCGATGAGAGAGAGTCATCGATCAGCTGCCTCTTGCACACCCCCCACCGGGGATATGCCCACAACCAAGGTGCATGCCCTTGACCGGAATCGAACCCGGGACCCTTCAGTCCCCAAGCCGACACTCTATCCATTGAGCCAAACCGGTTTCGGCGCCTTGGGTCTTTTTTGGGATTTTCAGAAGAGCCCCAGGACTAAGCCAGCTCAATCCCCTGTCGGGACTCAGTTTTTCCAGGACAGTGATTTGGAAACTGACAGATACAAACGAAAGTCCAGTCTTCACCCAGGAACAGACTCTGGGAGGCTGTTCCAGTGCCACAGCAAGGATTTGGACTTCCAAACCCAAGTCACCTAAGCTGGAACCAGGTCTCATCCCCACTCTAACCACCCATTCCAGGCCAGAGGGGCCATAGGTCTCACCAGCAAGCCTCAGACATCTGATGACTCTAAGACCTCTCACTCTGCTCCCTGCAAGGACACACCACACACACACCCTGCAGGCATTCCACACCTGCAGGTCATGGTCTGTTCTAGAAATTGTCAGTGGGGGTGCCAGGTGAAACAGTGGTGCCAGGGCAGTGAGAGATGAGGGGCGCAGCACAGACAAGAGCCATGGGGATTTGCCAAAGGGGCTGGAAGTGCCCCAGGCTGTTGTCAGCCCTCAAGAGTGCGTGTACTCCCAGGGAAGACCTCTGCGGCCCAGTGTTCAGGGACAGGCAGGGTTCGCTATAAAACCAATGACAGCAGGCAAAGAGCTGAAGCCTCTGTTAGTGGCTTCAACTGAGGGCTGTAAATGCAAGACGCTCTGGGTCTGCTTAATGCATGCCAGGGAGGAGCGACTAAGTCAGAAGTTCAAGTCCCAGCTTTGCCATGACCTCAGAGTGCCCTCAAGCACTGCAGGCCTCAGTTTCCCACCCGTAAAATGAGAGTTTCACAAGATAGAATCGAAGGTCCTTTTTTGTCCGAGGGTGAGTTTTTTTTATCTCCCTGAGGGCATACATTCATGGGCCCACAAAGATCCTTGTGTTACATACGTGAACTGCTCTATAGGACATCCATGTAAATTGTCCTGGGGTGCATGAGGAATCACTGGATTGTAGTGTGTGTGTGTGTGTGTGTGTGTGTGTGTGTGTGTGTGTTGTGGGCGTGCGCACGCTGAGTGGGAGGGGAGACCCCAGAATATCCTCCCCCCATCCCTCTTCAATAGGCGGAAGCCACTGGCTTCCTCCCTTTCCTGCCTCCTGTGTGCTGGCAAGACTGAGAACCGAGAGGAGAAGAGGGGATGGAAAAATCCCAGAGAGGCCCAAAGAACAGTCTCCAGGTCTGTCTTTACCACACCCTCCCCCCACCTCTACACCCCAATCCTGGTCTTCTAGGCCACACCCACCCCAGCCTGTGGAGATCACACTGAGGGACCTGGGGGCCCTGAAGCAGGATAAGTCCTTCCCACCCCTCTCCCCGGCCACCCCTCCCACCCAAGCCATCTCATTTCCTCCTCTTCCTCCCCAGCACAACACTCACTGACGAGCACAGGCTGAGCAGCCAGACCCAGAGTCACTGACCGTGGGCCCAGCTTGTCCTGGTGGCCTGGTCAGCCTCCAGAGTATGGTCTGGCTGGGGCCCCCTTTGCTGCTCCCCATCGTCTTCCTGGCTTCTCATGTTGGTAAGTCTTCCCCAAGCCATGACTCACCCAGCCCCCAAGGCCCTGATTCTACCCCAGTAAACTCTATCATCACTGTCAACAATGCCATCCAAATTGTAATCAGCTAGAAAGTGGGATTGAGGCCAGGAAAACCTGGAAAATAGGATCAGGCACTAGAAATCACTGTAGCCTGGGGCTAAAAGAGGGGAGGAGAAGGGAGGGATGGGAGGGGAGGAGTGGGGAGGGGAAGGGCCATTAATTGTGTTGGATCTTAAGATCAGCGGGGAACAGCTGGGCCTACAAAATGTTCAGTGAGTGAGCATATGGTTCTTGTGTTGCGTTCATTTAATTATTCACTTGAGAAACATTCATCAAGAACCAGCAGTATTCCAGGGGCTGTGCTAAGTGGTGGGCAGCCATCAGAGCTGCACAGAGATTAGCTGATGCCGACCTCCTACGGCTGTTATGGGGTTTAATGAAGTAGTTTACACAGAGCGATTGGCACAATGTGTGCGCTTGGTAGGGGCTTCTGAATAAGTGTGCTGGCCACAGGCTGTCTTTGAGTGGTTCACAGTCCAGAGGGCTAAACACACAGGCATAAGGAGCTCCAGAGTGGCGCTTGCTCTGCCTCAGGCAATAGATAAAAAGGGGGTCATGCAAGACTTAACTGAGACCAGCGGGCCTTCATTCCAGGCAGCCAGCAATAGATGCACATCTCAGAGGCATGGAAGTACCTGGGAGAGGAGGTTCCTAAAGGGAACAAACACAGCAGGAGGGACAGCGTGTGAGCAGCAAGGGGCTCAAGAGCTTGCACTTTATCCTGAAGGCGATAGGGGCCATGGAAGGTGGTAGGCTAGAGAGACATCGGGTCTTAGCTGATGTGTTGAAAGATGTGTTGAGAAAGTAGGGGTGTAGCTATTGGGATTGTCAAGGTGAGTAAGGGTGAAGGCTAAGCAAGGATGGGCTTGGAGATGGGGATAAAGTCAAGAGGCTTTGAGGAGATAGGATTTGCAGAATCTTGTGACTGATTAGGGCAGACAATATGATGCTTAAAGGTGTGGACTTGAGAGTCAGACAATCTGGTTCTGCCAGTCACTAATATTATGACCTTGGGCAAGTACTTCTCTGAGTCTTCCTTCCCTGGCTATAAAATTGGGGTAATAACACCTACCTGCCCAGACGGTTAGTATGGTAAAATGAGAGACCATAAGTAAAGTGCCTGGGGTACAACTGACCTCCAATAAACATTAATTATTATGACAGTAGGAATATAAGATGACTGAAGTTTGTGTCTCAGGTGGCTGCTGCCATCCGCTGAGTCAGAGAGCACTGAAAAGTAGCAGGTTTGCCTTGGCCGGGTAGCTCAGTTGAAGGGTCACCTCGTACACCAGAAGGTTGTCCAATTCCTGGTCAGGGAACATACCTACGTTTCAGGTTATATCCCTAGTTGGGTCACATACAGGAGTTAATCGATCAATGTTTCTCTCTCACATTAATATTTCTCCCTCTCTCCCTTCCTCTCTCAAATCAATTATATATATAATCTCCTCGGGTGAGAATTAAAATATATATATTTACTAAAACAAAAAAAGAAGAAGAAGAAGACGCAGGTTTGAGGAAGGCTGATGGACAAGCAGGCCCGAGCTGAGAGGCTGTCCCAGGGTTATTGACTCCGAGGTGACATTAAGGCCAAAAAAAGAGAGAATTACCCTAGCCAGTTTGGCTCAGGTGATGAATGTGGGACTGAAAGGTCCCAGGTTTGATTCTGGTCAAGGGCACATGCCTGGGTTGGAGGCTCAATCCCCAGTGGAGGCAGCCAATCAATGATCCTCTCTCATCATTGATGTTTCTGTCTCTCTCTCCCTCTCCCTTTCTCTCTGAAATCAATTAAAAATATATTTAAATCAACAACAAAGAACGAGCTGCTCAGGGAAGCCTGTAGAATAACTATCACCCTCCTCTGTAAATGGAAAGACATCAGCTTCACTGACGGGTGTGAGGATTCCCTGGAAATCAGATGCTTGGCACATGGCAGGCAGTCATCCAGTGCTAGCTTCATTTCCCCCTGTAGACTTAGGGAGGACATTAGTGGATAAGCTAAGAGGTATTTAAACGAATTACTTGGCAGTTAGCAGGCAGGGATGGAGAAGGAGGGGCTCAGGAAGGTATGGGGTCATGAGGCTGAGAGTTTGGACATAGTCTCCACTTATCAGGCCTGGACTCTAGCTCTGCTCGGTTTCCCCCACTCTCTGCCTCACACTGCATGCCCCAGCCGCACTGAATTTGGACATGCCCTTTCCGTACCATCATATTTTTCATTCCACGTCTTTACTCAGGCTGTGCCCTCTGCCTAGAATACCCTTTTCCTACCACTGACCTCTCCCCTCGCTATTCTCCTCCCCCTTCTCTGTCCTCCTGCTCAGCTTTAAGACCCTCCAGGGATGTCTCCATCTCCCAGAAGGCATCTCTTCCTCCCCTGCAGTGGGTCAGGCACCCATCGTCTGTGCTTCCCTGCAAGGCGCCCTGCCTTTGACAGGTGTGTCTGTGTCTGTTCTCCACAAGGCTGAAAGTTCTATGGAAGGCAAAGGCCTGGGGCCCATCTGTGTCTCTGCGCCTCGGCCGGCGCCTGCCCCAGCCTGGCCTCCGTCTCTGGCTTTTCGCTGGGCCCACAGTTCTCTTCCTTTCTGCCCCACAGCCACCTGGCTGCAGAACCCAGCCTTTCCGGCCTTAAATCCCAGCCCTGCAGACACGTCTAGGTTTCTCCCAGCGCTCTGTTCTCCTAGGCGCTTCCAGCCTGCCCATTCCAGCGGGGGGCAGGGAGCGTGTAGTGGGGGCAGGGAGAGCAGTTTGAGAGGTCAGGAAAAGGGGTCTGACAGGGAATGAAAAGGAAAGGGAGACAGGGAGCCTCCATCATTCTCGTCAAAGCTGGGCTGCCACGGGAAGCCATCTGGCAGGAGGAGGAAGGGGGCTTTGTTTTCGTTTTTGCTTTTAGGAGGAAGAGGCCGAAGGGAAAGGGGTCAGTGCACCCTGGAGGGTCAGGAAGGGCTGGGAACGGAAATGCCTGCTCAAGTGCAGAGCCTGACGGTGGGGAAGAGGGGGCGGGGAGGGAGGGAGGGCGGCTTGGGACCCCGTCAGAGCCCGGGCCCGCTGTCGCTCCCCCCAGGTGCGGCAGTGGACCTGACGCTGCTGGCCGACCTGCGCCGCTGGGAGCCGCACCGGTTCTACCTGACCTGCGTGTCCGGGGAGGTGGGCGCCGGCAGGGGCGCGGATGCCTGGGGCCAGGCCCTGCTGCTGGAGAAGGACGACCGCATCGTGCGCACGCCGCGGCCCCGGCCCCCGCCGCAGCTGGCCCGCAACGGCTCGCAGCGCATCACGCTGCACGGCTTCTCCAAGCCCTCCGACCTGGTGGGCGTCTTCTCCTGCGTGGGCGGCTCGGGGGCCCGGCGCACCAGCGTCCTCTACGTGCACAACAGCCCTGGGGGTGAGTCCGGCCCGCTGTCAGGAGGGAGAGGAGGGACTGCCCTTGACCTCTGACCGCACCCTCCGTCTCCCCTGCAGCCCAGCTGCTCCCTGACAAAGTCACACACACGGTGAACAGAGGGGACACGGCTGTGCTTTCTGCGCGTGTGCTCAAGGAGAAGCAGACAGACGTGATCTGGAAGAGCAACGGTAAGGGGAGCATTGGAGCTGGTCTGAGACCCCAACACTGCCACCATGGCCATGGGCACCCCCAACTTTGGCCCCTTACCTACCCATCGTTCCCGTATACCTGTTAGCCCCCCTGGCCAATCTCCAGGGCCCCCATATGTCCTGGACCAGGTCCAAGAAAGCACCTGCATCCATCTCTAGCTCCACGCTGTCCTCCTGTACCCAGAGGATGGGAGGCATCATGGTCACCTGCCTACACCCCTGTCACCCCCAAATTAATATTATGTTAAACCCTTGCCGAATCCCGTTTGGCTCAGTGGATAGAGCATCGGCCTGTGGACTGAAGGGTCCCAGGTTCGATTCCGGTCTAGGGCATGCACCTTGGTTTTAGACACATCCCTAGCAGGGGGTGTGCAGGAAGCAGCTGAGCGATGTCTCTCTCTCTCATCGATGCTTCTAACTCTCTATCCCTCTCCCTTCCTCTCTGTAAAAAATCAATAAAATATATAAAAATAAAAAAATAAAACCCTTCCCATATGACTCTCCCCTAGGAGCTAGCAGGTACAGAGCCCAGATGGCAGGGAGCGGCAGCCCCAGGAGGAAGGAAACTGTAACCAAGTCCTAGCACAGGGAAAGTCCAGATCTGTCCAGATGTGTGCCGGGGCCTGGCCACGCCTGGGGAGTGCAGCCATCCCGTGGGGGGAAGCTGTTTTCCTCTGTGGCCCCAGACACCCTCCGACCCACAGGCTTTTGACTGCCTTTTGGGTCCTGGACTCCGGAGGTCAAGGGGCTTGCCTCCTGAGCTCCATGCCCTCGGAAGTGATGTGGAGAGTCAGGGAGACCTGGGCTCCCCAAAGTCTCCATTCAGTCCTCAGCAAAGAGCCAAGCAGGGCCTGGGGCAGGCGCAATTGTCTGATATTAGAGTCTGCCGGCCCCGGGAGGGAGATCCGGAGAGACGGAGAGACGTCCCAGAGTAGATACCACCCGAACTGTGCCCTAGAGGAGGAATGGGACTTGGCCAGACAAAGAGGAGGGAGAGTAAAGGTAGGAAGAGAAACCAGCAGTTTGGGAATTCAGGGATGTGAGGAGTCAGGCGGGCTGTAGAGCAGGAAGGGGCCTGTGGGCAACACGCAGTAGACAAAGGGTGAAGAAAATGATGGGCTAGGGCTGTGGTCAGCAAACTGCGGCTCGTGAGCCACATGTGGCTCTTTAGCCCCTTCAGTGTGGCTCTTCCACAAAATACCATGAGTCTATTTTGAAGAAGTGGCGTTCGAAGAAATTTAAGTTTTAAAAATTGGGCTCTCAAAAGAAATTTCAATTGTACTGTTGATATCTGGCTCTGTTGACTCATGAGTTTGCCGACCACGGGGCTAGGGCCTTGGATGTGGCCCTGAGGACCGTGGAGAACTACTGGAGAGGTTGAGCAGGGAGCTGCAGAGAAACACACACTGGCTGCCGAGTAGAGGGCAGATGGGAAAGGGGGAGACAGGAAGCAGAGACCGACCACGTAGAAGGCTATGGAAAGTGGGGACCAGGATGGCAGGTGGCAGGGAGCCTGGAGAGACGAGGACGCTAGTGGAGGTGAGAGGAGACAGACTGAGCAGGACTGTGATTTACTGAGCGGTGGGTGGATCTGATGAGAGAATGCTCCCCAGCTCTCTGGCTTTTGGGTACAAGCACTCTGTGCTTTCCCCCAGGCGGGATCACAGAGCGGAGATGAACGGAGGGAGGGGCACCAGCTCTCACAGGGTACTGAGGCCCCTCACCCGCTTATGACCCTCAGGATCCTACTACTATACCCTGGACTGGCACGAGGCCCAGGATGGGCGGTTCCTACTGCAGCTCCCAAATGCACAGCCACCAATGAGCGGCATCTACAGTGCCACCTACCTGGAAGCCAGCCCCCTGGGCAGTGCCTTCTTCCGGCTCATCGTGCGGGGTGAGGGGCTGGGAGCAGGGGTGGTGGCTGGGGTGAGAGGTTGGGAGCCCTGTGGGTACTTCCTGTGGGTCCCCGGGCTGCCCCACCCCTCGGCAGCAGTGCTCAGGTGGGCGAGGGTCACCTGCTGAAAGCACGCTCCTCCAGGCTGTGGGCCGGGGCGCTGGGGACCAGACTGTACCAAGGAATGCCCAGGCTGCCTGCATGGAGGTGTCTGCCATGACCAGGATGGCGAGTGTGTATGCCCCCCTGGATTCACTGGCACCCGCTGCGAGAAGGGTAAGGAGGAGGGGGAGCTAGGACCTGGGGAGGAGAGGATGCCTGGCTGGGGGAAGGAAGATCCTTGAACCATGGGGAGGGAGCTGGAGGATGAGAGAGTACCAAGTGGTCCCGGGCCCTGGAACCTACCAGAAACCTTTACACCACATGTCTTCTTTCCAGCCTGCAGAGAGGGCCGTTTTGGGCAGAGCTGCCAGGAGCAGTGCCCCAGTCCATCAGGCTGCCGGGGCCTTACCTTCTGCCTCCCAGACCCCTACGGCTGTTCTTGTGGATCTGGCTGGAGAGGAAGCCAGTGCCAGGAAGGTATGCACGAACCCACTCTCTGCAGTCCCTGACCCAGAGAACTCGCACGAGCGTGGCCTGAACCCTTTCCTCTGGCCCTGACCTGCACACCAAGCCCTCCACAGCCCCCTGCTCACCTGACCAGGGCCCTCTCCACCCAACCTGTCATTACCCAGGCCCAGCCGTGCTTTTATTGCCCCCTAACCTGTACCCCTCTAACATGTCCTTTCCGTTTCCAGCCTGTGCCCCTGGTCATTTCGGGGCTGACTGCAGCCTCCAGTGCCAGTGTCAGAATGGCGGCACCTGTGACCGCTTCAGCGGCTGTGTCTGCCCCTCCGGATGGCATGGAGTGCACTGTGAGAAGTCAGGTAGGAACACAGGGGTCTCAGATCCTTCAAGAGAAGCCAGCCTTCACCAGACACATCGCCCTGTGAATGCTCAAAGTCCTGCCCTCGGGGAGCTCATGGTCTGGGAGCAATTCTCACCCCCTAGTCTGTACCATCCATAGAGAGACGAGCAGAAGCTGAGTGAGTGGTAGCCAGGCGGTCAGAGAGGGCTTCTTGGAAGAAGTGCGATCTGAGATGGAACCTGAAGGACAAAAGGGAAATGGCTGGGCAAAGAGCATGGACAGAAGCATGGGGACCAGGAGAGTGGAGTAAGGGGAGGCTTGGTAGTCGTCAGAGGAGGTCACATCTTGGGGACTTGGAATGGTGGGCAATAGTTTGCACTTAGTATGATAGGGACAGGAAGGAATTGTTGAAGAGGCACAAGGTCGTCAGATTTGTGTTTAAGAAATGACTCCAGCCAAAACCGGTTTGGCTCAGTGGATAGAACGTCAGCCTGTGGACTGAGAGGTCCCAGGTTCAATTCCAGTCAAGGGCATGTATCTTGGTTGCAGGCACATCCCCAGTAGGGGGTAGGCAGAAGGCAGCTGATTGATGTTCCTCTCTCATCAATGTTTCTAGCTCTCTATCCCTGTCCCTTCTTCTCTGTAAAAAATCAATAAAATGTATTTTTTAAAAAGAAAGAAATGACTCCAGCTGCTGGGAGACCCCAGATGATCTGTGCAGGGCCTGTGTTCTAGTCATGAGGCTGAGGCTGTGAAGGCCCTGGATTGGGTATGAATGGATCTTAGGAGGTGGGGGGTGCAAGAGGTAGACTCTGCGGCTGACCAGAGGGCCTTAGAGGACTCACCTGGGACGTTGCTGGCTTTCAGGCTTGAGTGAGTGACTGAGCAGATGGCAGTGCCTCGGCTGAGATGCATGACACAGGATGAAGGGCACTTTGGCGGTCATGTGTCTGCCCCTGGGATAAGGCTCCAGGATAAGTGCCCTTTCTCTCCCCAGACCGGATCCCCCAGATCCTAGATGTGGCCTCAGAACTAGAGTTCAACTTTGGGACGATGCCCCGTATCAACTGTGCAGCTGCTGGCAACCCCTTCCCAGTACCAGGCAACATGGAGCTCCGCAAGCCAGACGGCACCGTCCTCCTGGTCAGCCCCGCATCCCAACCCAGGGCCCCTGACCGCCAGCCTTACCGTTGGCCCCTCAGATCTCTGACCTCTTAAGGCTTTCTGCCAGCTCTACCCACTGGCCCGAGGAAGGTTCAAATGGGGTCTAGCTGATTGTTGAGGAGCAGCTTCCTGGCCTCTGTCCCCTCATCAGTCTAAACAGATGTGTGTCTGCCACATGGATATACATTGTCTTTGGTTTGTCCCCTTCCCCCGTCTCTCTTAGTCTACCAAGGCCATTGTGGAGCCAGATAGGACTACAGCCGAATTTGAGGTGCCGAGTTTGGCTCTTGGGGACAGTGGACTCTGGGAATGCCGCGTGTCCACGTCTGGTGGTCAAGACAGCCGGCGCTTCAAGGTCAACGTCAAAGGTCAGTGATGCCCATGGAGAAGGGCAGCAGGCAGAGTAGGCACTAGCTGGTGCTGCTCAGACTGGGCATCGTAGCAGGAAGGGCAAGTGCATCTACGGTCACAGCCCAGGCAAAGAAGAAGGCATATGGACAGTGTCAGAGTGGGAGTCCCACTCAGTCCCATCTGGAAAGGACATCCTATGCCGCCAAAATGGGACACCCCTGGCCTCACCCAGCTTCCTGCCTGGCCATGCTTGCCCTCTCCACCTCCCACAGACACACAGTGGCCTTTACCTCTGCCTCTGGGATGCTACTTTGCCCTCTGACCCACACCATAGGGCACTCGTGTTCAGGAGAAGGTGATCTGCTCAACTTCCCAGAGGTGAAATGAGGAGGGAGCTGCAGTGCCCAGGACTGCTCAGAACAGAGCATGCCCACCTGGTCCAGGTGTTCCTTCACCTTCTCCAGCACCATAGCCTTGACCATTCACACCCCCTGCCACCTCTTCGTTCCTCTTTTCCTCTGGCCCCTGCACTCCCTCCTCCCCACATAAGTCCAGACTCCTCTCTCAGTCCCCCCTCCCACTCTTCCCACTTGTTCACCATCGCCCTCCCACCACTCTGCAGCTCCCCACCACCAGGAAATACCAGCATGGCCCTAGGGCTCCACCTCCAGCCTTCTCTCCTCACTTCCCCCAGGCTTTGTTCCCAGACAATGTAGGTTCTAACCCTCGCTCTACAAATTCCTAGCTTCATGCCTTAAGCAGGTTACTTAGCCCCTCCTAGCTTGTTTCTCTCTATAAAGTGAAGATATCAGCGCTCACTTGACAGGGTTGTTATGAAGAGTAAATTAAATGATGTGCTTAAACACGTATCATAGTGCTAGATCCTTGTGCCCATGCTGCCCAGGGGGGCAGAACTCTGTCGTCCTTGGACCCTGGCCACTCTGGTCATCTGTTGACGTTGGCCTCCCCAGTCCAGATCCAAACCGAGATTCAAGGTGTCTTTGTTGGCCAGGGTCCCCTCATGTTTCTGAGGACTGGGTGGGTTTTCTGGGCCATGCCTTACCCTGCGTCTCCTGGCAGTACCCCCGGTGCCCCTGACCGCTCCTGGGCTCCTGGCCAAGCAGAGCCGCCAGCTTGTGGTGTCCCCACTGGTCTCCTATTCTGGGGACGGACCCATTACCTCTGTCCGCCTGCACTACCGGCCCCAGGACAGCACCAGGGCCTGGTCCTCCATTGTGGGTGAGTGGGGAGAGAGCTGGGGTGGCACAGCAGTGTTGGGTAAGAATGAGGGGCGAATGAGAGGAGAGAGAATGGCATAAGGGGAAGAAAGGGCCGAAGGAGAATAGTGGCTTCTGGAATGACCGAATGATGTATGCTTTTGCATCCCATCCTCAGTGGACCCCAGTGAGAATGTAACCATAATGAACCTGAGGCCGAAGACAGGATACAATGTCCGTGTGCAGCTGAGCCGACCAGGGGAAGGCGGGGAGGGAGCCTGGGGGCCTCCCACCCTCATGACCACAGACTGTCCTGGTGAGAGGCCATGAGTCATCCTTTCCTGTCCCATAGAGATTACTATCCCGTGCACTCAAGGGCTGTCAATCTTATCACATCCCCCCTTCCCCCTCCCTGGGCCCCTGCCTTTCTCACGGGAGGTTGTCCCACCCTGCCCCCTGAGGATCACTGCACTGTCCAGCCCCAAGGACTCACTAGACAGTTCTGACCCCTGACCTCTGGTCCCAGAGCCCTCGTTGCAGCCATGGCTGGAGGGCTGGCATGTGGAGGGCCCTGACCGGTTGCGAGTGAGCTGGTCCTTACCCTCGGTGCCTGGGCCGCTGGTGGGCGATGGTTTCCTGCTGCGCCTGTGGGACGGGGCACGGAGACAGGAGCGGCGGGAGAACGTCTCATCCCCCCAGGCCCGCACCACTCTGCTGACGGGACTCACGCCTGGCACCCACTACCAGCTGGATGTGCGGCTCTACCACTGCACCCTCCTGGGCCCTGCCTCGCCCCCCGCACGCGTGCTTCTGCCCCTCAGCGGTATGCTCAAGAAGGGGAGAAGGGCTCAGAGTGAGGACAGGGGACACATGAGACCCAAAAGGTTACAAGACCTGGATGGCTGTGGAGAAAACCCAGGGCACATGGAAAGCATGGGCATCGGAGGACCTATAACATCAAGCATACATGGACATGGGAGGACGTGGGACAGGGGCAACACAGAGCATAGGGGGACATGAGGAGGACCTAGGACTCCTGGGATATAAGGAGAGTAAGGGGAAGCAGAAGCTCAAGGGTGAAGGAGATCATAGGGAGAGGAAGTCAGCCCAAGACGGGAGGAGGAGGTTGCCAGGGTAGCGCCCATTCTGGGGTCCTCAGAGGGGACACCACTAGAGCAGATGACCTATCTGGCCCACTGCTCCCTAATGTGGTTCTGTCTGAGCCCTGCCTTTCCATCCTCATCTCTTCAGGACCCCCAGCGCCCCGACATCTCCATGCTCAAGCCCTTTCGGACTCTGAGATCCAGCTCACGTGGCAGCGCCCAGAGGCTCCGGCTGGGCCGATATCAAAGTACATCGTGGAGGTTCAGGTGGCTGGAGGCTCCGGAGACCCGCTGTGGATGGATGTGGACAGGCCCGAGGAGACAAGCACCATCGTTCGGGGCCTCAATGCCAGCACACGCTACCTCTTCCGTGTGCGGGCCAGTGTCCAGGGTCCCGGTGACTGGAGCAAGATGGTAGAAGAGTCTACCCTGGGCAACGGTGAGAGAGCAGGACCCATGAGGACTTCCAGGCTGTGGGGTCAGACTCAGTAATCCCTCCCTCTTCAGATCCTCTGCCTTGGATCTAGGGGATCCCAGGCCCTTCCCAACAAGTGACACAAGTCCTGGTACTGGGAACCCTGGCCCTTCCCTTCTTATGACCTTCTATTCAAGTACTGGGAAAATCATGTTACCCCAGTCACCCATGGGCCCTAGGCCTGACATCCCTGATCCCTCCCTCGTACTGGGATCTCTGACCTCTCCCTCCCTGTGAGCACTGCCTCTGTCCCTCTGACCCCATGGTGGCCTCCTGGTTTCCTGACCCAGGGGTCCTCATGATCTGCCCATCTTATTATGTCCAGGGCTGCAGAGCCAGGGCCCAGTCCAAGAGATCCGGGCAGCGAAAGAGGGCCTAGATCAACAGCTGATCCTGGCTGTGGTGGGCTCCATGTCTGCCACGTGCCTCACCATCCTGGCTGCCCTCCTAACCCTGGTGTGCATCCGCAGAAGCTGCCTGCAGCGCAGACGCACCTTCACATACCAGTCAGGATCGGTCAGTTACCTACCTGTCCCAGCCTTGGGGCACATGCATGCAGACCCTATGTATATATGTTTTTACTTATATACAGACAAGTACTTGTACACCCGAGCGTGTGTGTGCGTGTGTGTGCGTTGCAGGTATAAAACTATACCTAATGACACTTAAGGGCATAAAATGCCCATTTCTTTATTTCTCCAAAACCGAACTCAGCTTATGAGCTATTAGTGGTGAAACATTTGCTATTAGTGGTGAAACATTGCTATTAGGGGTGGAACATTTCATATTCCTAATTCAAAATAACTTGGTCATGCCTATATTTCACTGTGGTCCTTTCAGGATTCGCTCCTTTCTCCATGGGGGTGATCTAAGCCTACGTAGCATGGTGATATCGTGGAGGGGCCCCTGAGCTTCATGCTGGCCTCTGTCCTGACAAGCCCTCCCCAACTCTGGAGCTGGCTTCCATGTGCGTACAGCTGTGGCTGACGGTCTCAGCCCTTCTCTGGCCTCCTGCCAACAGGCTCCTCATTCTATGAACCACTCATCTCGTCCTCCATCTTTCAAATCCCAGGGCTTCCTTGGGGAGGCTTTAGGACTCTGGGGTACATCCCTATTCCCTGCAGAGGACAATGTATCCTATGACCCTCAGCCCCATTGTTACTACCCTTTATACAGCTGTTTCTACCACCATAGGCTTGAGCTGGGCCCGTAGCCTCACCCATCGCTCCTTGAGAAAGGAAACACAAACCTCCCCTCTTCCTGGCTTCCCTGCACACCTGTCTGACTTTTCTGTAGTCCTTAGGAGTGAGGGTAGGGTGCTGGCTCATCTTAAAGGACCATGTCCACTCATCTTGTCACCTCCTCCATTTCTCACCTGCTCCCACCTCTCTCTCTCTCTCTCTCTCTCTCTCTCTCTCTCTCTCTCTCTCTCTCTCTCTCTCTCTCCTTGGTCCTGTCTCCTCTGAGATCTTTTTCTACTGTTGCAACTTACGACCTGAAGTCTGCCCTTTTCCCTCCACGCCTGGGGTCTTGATATTCACAACCAAGCTTTGGCATTTCAAAAAAAGACCCTCTTCTTTCTCAAGGGCTGATCCTTGTGATAGAAAGCCTAGTGTCCGAAGCTATTGTCTCTGCCATGCTTTAAAAACTCCTTTCAGAGATTCAATTGGCTTCTTTGTTCAGGCTGTGTGGGCCTTCCTCTTCGGTCAGTGTGCACCAAAAGCCGTCACTGCTATAGTGGGGAGGGTAATGGGTACAAATGTTGGGGAAAGGAGGTACGAAAGCAGCTTTTAACATATATGTTATGCTAACATATACCAAGATATACCCCTGCTACATGTGCCTGTGTGGGTGTGTGCCATGTGCATATCCCTATGAGCACTGCCTCTGTCCCTCTGCTTGTGCTCCTCTATGTGCACATGTCCATGTGGACCTCTGCATGGATGTACCTGCCTACAGTACCAGCGCTAGAAAAATTCATGTGCACGCTTATGTGTGTGTTCAGCTGCCTGTGTCTCATGCAAATCAGTGTGACCCATGTCCCCACCCCTTCTCCATCAAGCTCGGAGCCCCTATCATGGCTGTCTTAGCACCTCTTCCAGTTCTCATATTGGCAGCTAACCTGGTCCTGTTCTGTTTCTTTCTTCAGTCTTGCCCAGGTGGCCCAGCTCCTACTCAGATGGGGGCAATGAACATTCCTCTTTGTTATGGTCTATTTTTAGGCCCCAGGGTAGTTCTAGAGTTATGGGTGAATGCCAAGTAGGCAGACGGTGATAACTCTGTTTCTACTGCTATGGAGAAGAAAGCTCCTCCACTGGCTCAGAGCTAGGAATGTGTTCAATAAATGAAACCTAACCCTGGCCAGTGTCGCTCAGTTGGTTGGGAGGCACCAAAGGCTTGCTGGTTTGACTCCCAGTCAGGGTACATGCTGGGCTTGTGGGGTCTGTCCCCAGTAGAGGGCATGCAGGAGGCAGATGATCGATGTTTCACTCTCACATCTATATTTCTCTCTCTCTCTCTCTCTCTCTCTCTCTCTCTCTCTCTCTCTAAGAATCAATGTAAAAAATAATTTAGGAAGGAAGGATGGAAGGAAGGAAGGAAGGAAGGAAGGAAGGAAGGAAGGAAGGAAGGAAGGAAGGAAGGAAGGAAGGATCCTAGCCTACTGCCTTAGGCTGGAGTCCTCTCCAGGGCATCCTTGGTCCCAAAAAAAGCCTGGTTGTGGGATCAGCTCACTGCTTCCCATCACAACTCATTTCGATTTCTTTCTGTTTCAAATGTTAGATATATCATCCTCCCATTGACTTAGATTGTGGCTTCTAGTAACTTTGCCTATTCCTTGTTCTTTCAGTGCCCCACACGCCTGACCCCCAGGCTACAGACCCTCTCAGTGGACATCTGTCCACCCAATGGCCCACCCATGGCTCCATCTCCTATGACTGCCTCAGTATGTTCTCTGCTGTGTGTGTGTCCCTAGCTAGCCACCAGATGCCCTCTGTCTGGGTCTCCATTATCTAACCACTCTTTGTCTATCAGTGCCTCTTGCTGACCCCGTGTCTCTTTCATGGACTGTCTGCCCATTTGTTCCATCCTATGAAGGGTGAGGAGACCATCCTGCAGTTCAGCTCAGGCACGTTGACGCTCACCCGGCGACCAAAACCACAGCCTGAGCCGCTGAATTATCCGGTGCTGGAGTGGGAGGACATCACCTTTGAGGACCTCATCGGGGAGGGGAACTTTGGCCAGGTCATCCGGGCCATGATCAAGAAGGACGGGCTCAAGATGAACGCAGCGATCAAGATGCTGAAAGGTCTGCTGGGAGTGATCTTGGACCCCACACCCTACTCCTGACCCTCTCCTTTGTCCGACAGATCTCAGGCCCCATCTTGCTCCCTCTGGTAACTGATCTTAGCCCTTACCAGCTCATGCCCTTTTTCCAGAATTATATCTGGCAAAAGTGATATGGGATTCTTTATACAGAATACGCCTCTGAAAATGACCATCGTGACTTTGCGGGAGAACTGGAAGTTCTGTGCAAATTGGGGCATCACCCCAATATCATCAACCTCTTAGGAGCCTGTGAGAACCGAGGTGAGCCCCCATCTTTTCATCTACCCCTTCTTCGAAACCCCATTTTCAGCCATCACCTCCTCCACATCAGTACCTTGCTGGGAGCTTCAGGTTACCTAATCATCACTATTCATTCTCCTCATGCCTTATGCTCCCTGTCTACTATTGTTGGGTACTTGCTGCCACCAGCTTGCCTGTATATAAACCTCCACCATGTATCTCCCCACCTCCAGGTTACTTGTATATTGCTATCGAATATGCCCCCTATGGAAACTTGCTAGATTTTCTGCGGAAAAGCCGGGTCCTGGAAACAGACCCAGTTTTTGCCCGAGAACATGGAACAGCCTCCACCCTCAGCTCCCGGCAGCTGCTACGTTTTGCCAGTGATGCTGCCAATGGCATGCAGTACCTGAGTGAGAAGCAGGTATGTGTGTGTGTGTCTGAGTGCAGGGAGGGAAGGTGTGCCTGAGGGAAGAGGGGGGCCAATGGGCTGACCTCAGGAGATAAAAGAAGCAGGCTCTGATTGGATGTAGGATTGAGGAATTGAAAAGGATATGACCCCAAGGTGCTGGCCTGGGGAGTGGGTGAGAGGACAGGACAAGAATCAGGTCTGGAGGAGGTATTGCATTTGAAGCATTTGAGGAACATTTTTTAAAATATATTTTTATTGATTTCAGAGAGGAAAGGAGAGAGAGAAAAAAACATCAAGGATGAGAATCATTGATCGGCTGCCTCCTGCATGCCCCCTATCAGAGATCAAGCCCACATCCTGGGCATGTGCCCCTGACTGGAATCGAACCTGGGACCCTTCAGTCCGCAGGCCAATCATCACTATTCATTCTCCTCATGCCTTATGCTCCCTGTCTACTATTGTTGGGTACTCGCTGCCAGCAGCTTGCCTGTATCCACTAAGCCAAACCAGCTAGGGCTTGAGGAAAATCTTGATGGAGATGTTGAGTTAGCAGTTGTAGAGACCAGCCTAGAACTCAGGAGAGAGGCCTGGGCTGGAGACAACAACCTGGAAACTGTCACCATTAGGTGGTGATGCTAATAGTAAGGGAGGGAGGGAGACCCATCAGGAGAAAGTAAAGGAGGAGCAGAGAATGGAGGCTATAACGCAAATTCAAGAATACCTAACTGAATGAAAGGAGAGAGGAACAGCAGTAGTAGTGGGAACATAAGATTGAGGAAAGGCTTTTTAAACGTAGTAAAGTTCTGAGTATCTTTGAAAGCAGAGGGACACAGCACAGAGGGAGGAGTTGATGGACAAAGATCTCTGAGGAAGGTGGAGGGTTGAGTAGAGACTTGGAACTCAAGAGAAAGGGTCAATTTGGGAAGAGAAGGGCCTTCCCCACCCTCATCAATTAAAGAGAGGAAGATAGAACCATGCAAAGAGAGAAAATACCCACCATTGCCCCAGGAAGAGGGATACACCTGAGCTTGGCCATGGACATATCACAGAAAGGAAGGCATGGCAGCAGGCAGCACCATGATTTTTCTCAGGCAGGAGTTGTTCCAGAAGAAGACCTGGGTGGGGAGGAAGAAGGGTAAGAGCTACTAAAGGCTTTGAGGGTGGCCATGAAAACTGGCTATGGGGTAGGACCCCTCACTGGCCCAGGAGTCCTGGGCTCACTCATTCCATCTTCCCTGACTTCTCACTGTGCCTGCAGTTCATCCACAGGGACCTGGCTGCCCGAAATGTGCTGGTTGGAGAGAACCTAGCCTCCAAGATTGCCGACTTCGGCCTTTCTCGGGGGGAGGAGGTCTATGTGAAGAAGACAATGGTGAGTCTCAGCCCTCCCTCAGGTTCCGTGCCTGGTCCTGCTCCCCAGAGCCCTCTAAACTAGCCCTTCCTCCTCACCCAACCCTTCAAACCCATTCTCTCCCAGGGGCGGCTCCCTGTGCGCTGGATGGCCATTGAGTCCCTGAACTACAGTGTCTATACCACCAAGAGTGATGTGTGAGTGTGGGGCAGCAGGAAGGGGTAGGAGGGCTTGGTGTCCTAAAGTTGCACACAGGCATAACCTGGACACATTTCATACATGTCTCAGGTAGTCCAAGGCATGACTTGGCTGCCCCTGGGCTGTGTTCCACATGTGGCACAGGTGTGATGCAGGTGTATCTTGGGTATACCTTGGCGATGCCCAGCATCTTAGTGGGAAGGTAGGGGACCCAGCTGGAAGGGAATTTTGTCTTAGAAGGTGTTTCAAGGATATACTACAACTCCCAAGTTCAACATAAATACAACATAAATCCATGCCATGTGGATTGGGGTAGGGTAGTTTAGGGCAGTGCTTGTGTTAAGAGATAGGGGGATGTCTTAGAGAGGTTAGGGGGTGCTGGTGGATAATGCCCAGGTCGGGGGGGGGGGGGGACCATTCAAGAATGTTCTTACCTTCTTCTCTAAAGGGCAGGGTCACCCCCATATGAGGGCCTAACCAGCATATGACCCCAAAGACTCCTTCTCTGTGCTCCCCACCTCCAGACAATCATCTTGGCAGGCTCCTCCCCTCTCTCTGGGAAAACTAGTCTGCCCAACCCTCCAGCCACGGCTCTGCCTATTTGCTCCAAGTCCTAGCCTGTCCGGCTCACTGTCCACCACATGATCACCCCTCTGACCATCACTTGCCTACTCCCTTCTTCTGCTTCCAAACCCTCTAGATCCCCTCCCCCCACTAGAACTTCTACCCTGGCCTCCCTTGGCTCTCACATACACGGAGGTTGTTACACTATAAGAGCCAGTTAAGAGCAAGGGCTTTGGAGTCAGGTTACGAGAGTCTGATTCCCAGTTCTGCCACTTACTCTTTGTGTGACCTGGGGCAAGCCAGCTAGCCTCTCATTGCCTCAGTGTTGTCACCTATAAAATGGGGATAAGGTCAGTACCTATGTCATAGAGTTGGTGTGAGGGTTAGATATATTAACATATACATTAAATGATCAGTGCCTGGCCCATAGTCAATGTGCGGTAAAAATGTTAGCTATGGCCGAAACTGGTTGGCTCAGTGGTAGAGCGTCAGTCTGCAGACTGAAAGGTCCCAGGTTTGATTCCGGTCAGGGGCATGTACGTTGGTTGCGGGCACATCCCCAGTAGGGATGTTTCTCTCTCATCGACGTTTCTAGCTCTCTGTCTCTCTCCCTTCCTCTCTGTAAAAATCAATAAAATATATTTTTAAAAAAAAAAAGTGGGGCATTTAAAAAAAAAATGTTAGCTATGATTACATCGAGCTTGGTCAGAACCATGAAGGAATTTCAATGGAGCAGAGACCACAGCTGGCCAAGACCATGTGTCACAGAATAGACACATGCAGAGGCTGGGATGGGCTACAAACCTGGGGTAGGTAGACACTAAAATGCTGGCCCCAGGGCCTAAAGGTAACTAAGTGCATCCTCCTCATTTCAGCTGGTCCTTCGGGGTCCTCCTCTGGGAGATCGTGAGCCTTGGTGAGTCCCACACCCCCTCCCCCAGGGTGCCCCACCTTACCCTTCTGGGGTGAGGGAGCTTTGTCCCCTCCTGCAGGGGGCACACCCTACTGGGCTGAGGGAGCTCTGTCCCCTCCTGCAGGAGGCACACCCTACTGTGGCATGACCTGTGCTGAGCTCTATGAGAAGCTGCCTCAGGGCTACCGCATGGAGCAGCCTCGGAACTGTGATGATGAAGTGTGAGTTGCCTCAGCCTCGAGCCTTGTGACCCCATCACCCCAGTTGGCCCAACCCCTCATCCCAGTAATGTCCCATCTGCAGGTACGAACTGATGCGTCAGTGCTGGCGAGACCGCCCATACGAGCGACCCCCCTTTGCCCAGATTGCGCTGCAGCTGGGCCGAATGCTGGAAGCCAGGAAGGTGAGGAGGCGGGGTGAGGAGGACTAGTGCTCACCAGGCTCACAGGACTGCCCTGGCATAGGAGCCAGCATCAGCCTCTGGGTGCCCGTCCTCACCATTAGTTGCCACCGCAGCTAGACCAGGCCCCCATTCCAGTTCTCAATAGGTTGGACATTAGGTCCTTCTAAACTTTTCCAAGGCCACTACTAGCCCCAGCAGCAAATCCCTCTCCGGGTCCAGCTCCCAGACTGCTTGCCTGTCCTCCTCTGCTGACACCATCAGCCCATTCTCATCTAGGACACCTCTCCTCACCTGTCACAGGGCCAGCGTACAATGCATGGGTGGTCAGCTGAGAATATGGATGGATGAATGGATGAATGGTACAGGAAATGAATGAATAGAATTAGTAGCTAGATGATATATTCACATGATAGAATCATATGAATAAACACAAAGTTAAATAACTGAATCTTACAACCATGTAAATATACACATTATCAAATAAATATAAATGAAGAAATAGATCACAATCAATGTAATACATTTGTAAATGCATAGGGTTCTCCATATGAATTAATGACTAAATAGTAATAGGAATTAGTAAAGTATCTTAAGAATTAATGGATGATCAAAATAACCATGTAAATAGGTAAATTGTCAAAAATAGCTTGATAAAAAAATGAATAAGTGAATGAATGAATTGAATGAATAAATGAGCAAAAAGTTCATTGGTTGAGTGCATGAAAACACTAACAACTGTGTCAAGGGCCTCTTACCTCCAACTGTGGTGGGAGATTCCTGAGTGTCCAGAACAAACCAAGGTCTTTTCAGATACCCCAACCACAGGAAAGTCAGGGACCTCCAGGCCCCCATCCCCTGGCCTCCACTAACGTTTGCTCTGCTCCCCAGGCTTACGTGAACATGTCGCTGTTTGAGAATTTCACTTACGCGGGCATCGACGCTACAGCTGAGGAGGCCTGAGCTGCTATCGAGGCAGAACCTGGCTCTGCTGGTCAGAGCAAACCTCTCTCCAACCTGTGACTTCTGGTCCTTGTAGCCTCTGACCTGAGCTGCCTCAAGGATTTTTTTTTTTAACTTAAGGAAGACAAGAGGGATCCAGGGAAGGGGTGGGCTTAGGGGAATTGGGTCCTCATCCTTTGAAGTTGTCCCCTGCCCCCTGCATATCTCTTATAGCTGCCTTCACATCCTTTTTCTACTTCACCTGCTCCACATATGTGTGCTCCTCTCCTACTCCCCACACTCAAACCTCTACTTCTGCTCCTCCACCCAAGCCAGCACTAGCATTACTAACATGCCCTATTCAGCTGCTCCCCATTCCTGGCCTTATAATCAGAAAAAATAAATGTTCTAAGAAGCTCCACCCAAAGTGCTCCTTTTACTGCTGACCAATCCCAAGGAAAAGCTGAACCAAAGACAGAGAAACTAGACTTTCCAGGAAAAGAAACACTTGTAGATCTGGTCCCTCTGTTGGGATTGCTTCTCCGTGATGGGAGGTGTTCTGGAAGAATTATTTCATACCTATACCAACCCTACATTGTAGAGGGCCCTCTGGGAAGGCACATGGGCATTCTTTAAATTATTGTCAGCTGAATTCAGGGCGACAGGCAGAGCCTCATCTTGAATACACATTCACCAAAAAGGATGTGTTATCAGTACTGACTCTTAGCTTTACCCAGGAGTCAGGGAATGTGACTTTGATATGTAAATCCAGTCAAGCACTAGGAATGCTTGGGCCTACTCAAGAATGCAAATAAGCACCTTTGGTCCTAAGTTCTGGTGAAACCCCCTGGTATTTGGGGGTATAAAACAAACTTGCTGCATAGGCTCTGGGTCCCTGTCCTTCCATCAGAGAGGACAGAGTCCCACCTGGCTCCCAGCTTTTTCCTTCTATCTTTGTGTCTGGTCTCTTTCTTTCTTTTATTTCTTAATTCCCAGCTCCTCTACTCAGGAACTGGACTCACTCCTTTTCCTTGCTGGACGCGGAAAGGAGAGAAACACCTACACTACATCTTGGCCATATGAGAAGTCCAGTTTTCCCCTGATCTCTTCGCTACTCTCCTGCCCTATCACCAACATGTCTCCCTGTATCTCTAGGTAGCTGCCAGCCTAGCATTCTTTGCTCTGCCCAAACAGTCCATGCCAGGGTCAGCTGCAGCCCAGCCTCAGCTCACACTGACATCTCAGCACCAAACAGATTCTGGCCTGTCTGGAGTTCCCATTTTTCTTTATGTCTCTAGGCAATCTTTCCTGGCTTGGTAGCCACCTTACTGTCCAGCATATGGGCCCCAAAGGAGGAAGGCATTTTCAGCCAGCCATAGTAGAATTCCTATGCCTCCCTCGGTGTCTCCAAGTGTGTTGGGAGGTGCTCCCAGTCCTGAAAGCTAGTCCGTGTCCTACTCCATGCCATGCGGCCTTCAGGCTTGCCTGTCCTTTTGGTTTCTCACTGCTGGCCTCTCACTGGTCCTTAGGAAACAACACTTGTCTTGCTTCACACATTTTTTTCAGGGAATCAGATGAAATCAAAGAATGAATAATGTGACATGGTGTTATAATTAAGAGCACAGACTCTGGAATCACACAGACCCACGTCTAAGTCCTTGCTATATCATTATCTGTGTGAAATTGGTCAAGTCGCTTAACCTCTCTGAAAAATGGGGTAATAGCTACCTGACTATTGTTAGCGCTAAATGAGATCACACGGGCACAGCTTGCACAGCACTGGGCCTGGTACATAGTGCTCAATATCAGCAGATAATACATACAAGTACAGGAAGATAAATGAGGTGGGGTAGGGGTTATCACATCTGTGTTCCAAAACGACCTGGATGGCTGGCGTGCGGGGCTGAATTTAAGAAGAAGAAATTAACTGGAGTAAATGGAAAGCTATGCAGGATGAGAGAGATGGGATTTGTTAAAGCTAAATTTCATTTCAGATACACTGCAGGGATATTGCCAGGTCCAAGGTGCGGAGATTACAAAGTTGTCCCCGATGGGGACCAATAAACAAAGATACCCCTGTGAGGAGACGGATATGTAAATAAACAAAAAATAGAAGAGTATGCTATAAGAGAGGGAGGTACCTGGGTAGCACATGTAGGAAGGAGATGGGGTCAGGAAAGCTTTGCCAGAGAAAGGGACATTTTAATATGGGCCAGGAAGAAGTAGGGGCTCACTTGAGGAAAAGATCCTGGCAGGGGAAACAGTACCTGTGACATGTGTGTGTTCAGGAGCTGCAAAGAGTTCCATGTGGCTGGAATAAGGGGAGAACATAGTTTGTGAAGGTAATGAACCCAGAGAGGTGTCAGGGGCCACCCTGTGCTGGACTCTGTAGGCCTGGTCCTGGATAGGGGGTGTGTGGGAGGCAGCCCATCAATGTTTCTCTCATGGAGATGTTTCCCTTTCTCTTTCTCCTCTCCCTCTCCTTCCCTCTTTTCTGTAAAAATAAATGAAAACATTTAAATCTTAAAAAAAAAAAAAAAAAAAAAAAAAGCCCTAGGCAGTTTGGCTCAGTGGATAGAGTATCAGCCTGCAGACTGAAAGGTCCCGGGTTTGTTTCCAGTCAAGGGCACATGCCCAGGTTGTGGGCTCAATCCCCAGTAAAGTCATGCAGAAGGCAGCCAATCAATGATTCTCTCTCATCATTGTTGTTTCTATCACTCCCTCTCCCTTCCTCTCTGAAATCAATATTATATATATATATATATACATATAATATTATATATAACATATATAATATTATATATAACATATATAATATATAATGTTATATTATATATATAATACTATGCTAAGTGAAAGAAGCTAGTAACAAATGACCACATATTATATTTGTATATAACTTATATGAAGTGTCCAGAATAGGTGAATCTGCTGCTTTAGGGTGGGACAAAGATGGGGGGATAGGAGGGCAAGAGCTAAAAACTGGATTTCTTTTTGAGTTGATAAAAAAGTCTAAAATTGTGGTTGCATATATATGTGAATATATTAAAAGCTACTGAATTGTACACTTTAAATGAGTGAATTATCTATAATTATAAAAGTATAATATGCAAATTAACCGAACAGCCAAACAGCAGAGCAGCCATCTGGACAATCATGCTATGACATGCACTGGCATCAAGCCAGCCAAGGCGGGTGCAATGTGATTGGTTGGGGGGTGGGGGCTGCCATTGCCCCAGAGGGAGACCCAGGCCACCAGCCAGTGATCAATCAGTCAGGATGGGGGGCTCTGCAGAACCGGGGAACCAGGGGTGTGTGGCAGTGGGCGTGGGCAGTGCCAGGCCAAGCATGGTGCCAATGGCGGGGTGGGGCCACGAAGCCGGCAGCCAGGGGAAGGAAGGCCTACCCTTGCACAAATTTCATGCATCGAGCCTCTAGTATCTCAATAAAGCTACTAAAGAAAGACAGAGTGAAGGCAAGGAGCTCAGTGCAGGTGAGAAATGATGGTATGGTGATGAACTGGAAGAAATACATGGGTTAAAAGTGGACAGAGGTTAAATATGGGAATAGAAGGAAAGGGTAGAATCTATCTAGGTTTACTGACAACTTCTGTTTAGATAACTGGGTTGATGGAGATGTCAGTCACTAAAAGAGGTAAAACAGCTAATACTTATATGGCACTTGATTGCCAGGCACTGTTCCAAGCACTTAGCCTGTATTTATTCCTTCAATCTTCAACAACATTAGATGGGTACTGTTATTAGATAGTTACTATTATTATCATTCCCATCTTACAGAAGAGAAATAGGCTCGGAGAGGCTACGTGACTCAGCCAAAGTCTGACAACTAGTAAATGGCAGAGCTGGGATTCAAACCTAGATATTCTGACTTCAGAGTCCCTCTCTTAGCCACAGTGCTATACTACTTCTCTGGTAGAGTGAAAAGGGTTCAGATTGGGATATACTATAACTCCCAAGTTCAACACAAACACACTGATCTCATACTGCACACCAGGTCCTGGGCCAAGGGCAGGACCCAAGAAGCACCCTCTCCAAACAGAAGATTCCCACATTTCTACTGTAGTCCCATCACAATCACAGCCTCACTACACACAAGGCAGCAAACTGCAGGTATAGGGCTACATATTCCACCTCACCTGCCCACACCTGCCTAACTTCAGTTCTCACTGCTTCTCTCTACAGCTATATTTTCACAGGCAACAGTCTGGGTTAGGCGGAGGGGACGGGGTGGGGGGAGGGGGGGGCGGAGAGCAATGAACCAGTCCATTAGCACAAACTTGTTTCCAGAGAAATGATGGGAAAGAGGCGGAAAGGCCAAGACCCATCTCTCTCAGGCTCATTAGGCAGGCAGCTGGGGGAGGCGAACCTGAGCATGCTGTCCAAGGCGCCTCACTGCAGCCAGTCCTGGCCCAAAAAAGGGAACTCCCACCAGTCAGCCCTGAGTCATTCCCTCTCAGCCCCCAAGGAAGGAGCGATTTCCTGCATGGCCCTCTGGGCAGCTCAGGCTCCTCCTATGAGCTGTGCATCCTCTTATCTCACCCCCAGCCTCCCTAGTGGGGCAGACCAACCAGAGTTTGGCGGGAGTAGGCTGGTCCTCAACAGGAAACATGGATTCAGGATTCAGAGAGAGCCTGGCAGCTCAGTAAAAGCAGCTTAGAAACCAGGAAGTCTCATGGAAAATGAAGGAAGGAGGGCTGACCAAACGGAGTCCCCTGCAGCTCTCTCGCTTGGGGTCACTGCTAGCCATCTACTGGTCCTTTCCCCATTTACTTAAATTAAGTCTCTCTGGATGCCTATTTTGACTTAGCCTCGTACTGTGGGAGAGACTCACGCCAGGCCCTGTGCTAAGCACAGAATGTTAAACCAATGCATAACATGGAGGTATCAGAAGTCCTAGTCAGGGTGTCTAGGTCGTAGTTAAAGAACAGACTTTGGAGTCAAACAGACCTGAATTCAAATCTGAGCTCTGCTCCTTAGTAATGACTTAGACAACCCACTGAA